TAATACTTAAACCTAACAGATACAAGGTGTATTTCTGTGTTAAAATATCTATTCATACGGCCCTAGTATAGCGAAAGAGATATGTGCACATAGAGTGGAAGCTGCTGACGGAATTTTGGAACGAGATTTGTGTAATGTATTATACCAATTTGTTATCAGTCCCTGTGGACGAAGTTACCGCTGTCGTATGTGCATTGGCAGTTGGTGTATAAAGAAGTTCAATGAATAGGGAGCCATGATGCGGAAGTGACGCACTCTGTTGATTATTATCACATGACTATTTATCGCTTGAGGTCAGATCGGGATTTCAAATAATTCAGGGTTATTTTACGTTTTACGTTTTGTGAACGGTTATGGAGTAATTATTACTTGGTGGGATTTTGAATGACACTGAATTTTCTGAGTGAACTGAACGTAAATTTATATCGTTTAGATTCAGACGATCTTGGTTTACAATTGGTCGTTTTTTGTTACAGATATAAATACTCATAATCCGAAATAATACTTAATCGAATGGTAAAACTGTTGTCGATCAAGTGGTAAAATGGCTTTAGATTCAATCCTGAAATGTACACAATGCGAGGAATGTCTCGTAATTAATGCTTGAAAATATTTTTTCCCCTTAAAATTGTTGTAATTGTTGCCTTGTGTAATACTTTTCATTGTTATTCACCTCCATGTTTATCGTCCGGTAAATCATATTAAGCTTTATGGAGAGTGAGGGTGAAGGTTGAAAATCACAATCAGTCAATGGTAGATGTTGATTCATGTAAATATGATGTTACATTGTATCAAACATGACAGGAAAATAATGTAACGAACACTAAGGTCAGTTACCGGTTACACTAGCGAATAGCGACTTCAAATTAACATAAAATATGCCCGCACTATTACGGAAGGAGGTTAATTTCTGTCCGGGTGGGTTTCTGGGAGGGTGCTGTTTCCTACTCTGGATAATATACCCTCACCGGTATATATATATATATATATATATAATTCAGAGCATTCGAATTTTATTAACAATGTTAGTCAATATTAATAATTAACTTATTTTTGTTGATTTAGTACTTAATTCGACCTCAGTTGTGCCAAAAATCTAAATCTTGGTATACATATAATTTCCAGCTTACAACGCCAATATCATTATGCGTGAGAATATGCTAAGTCAGATTTATTATTTCTCTTTCATAAGACTTATAATTATATCGAAATCGACGCTTTGATTCAATCTGCTTTATCCTCTCGGTATATATTTATATATAGCGCAGCATGTACACTTGGACTTGGGGGTAGAAACTACTGACCCCCGTATCAAATACGACTGTCAAATAGCTTACCCACAAATCGATGCATTAACACGCCCCTCGCATTGTGTTCTCTGTTAATTATTAGTAGAGAGCCAATACTGCTTCTAAATAACGAACCGAATACCGTGTGGCATTCATTCAAACACTTATCAACCGCATCAACATGCCCATCGTGCTGTCTCTCTAGTTTGAAAGGCAATTTGCATTTATATGGGTTATCGTTAAGTATATTAAAATATGTTTTGCTGCGCTAGTTTTTGAAATTAACACTGAATTAACACTGGAGTCAATTTTCGCGACGCTCAGAGGTTAAATCATGAACCTACTGAACAACAACATATAATCTTTCCTAGTTTCAATTGTGGCTGTCACTGATTCGTTGTAGTTTAAAGCGGAAGGGTTGTCACCTGCGCACGCGCGGAAATTGAATCCCAAGCGACGATAACAACCCACGAAAAAAACGCAAAGGCTCATGGATAGACGCTTCTTTGTAAACAATGACACGCTATGGCTGTCTTACGCATGCGTAGGTGACGAATCCCCGCTTTAAAGCTCAGTGGAGATTTACATATCATTTTAATTGTCTGGACCATAAGTTTAGGAATGTGTAGGTAAACTATATCTTCTACTTCGAAATCACTTTCTTGTATTTGAGCATAATTATCATATTCTTGATCATGGCATATGTTTAATGTTGAAACAACTGTTGAACGAAAAGTTAGCGTTTTTGATCGGTATCGATGGCGCTAGGTGTAAAATATATGGTTTTTGATTTCATATGTAATTTGCCAGTATTTCTAACCAAATAATCTGGGGTAGGCGAGAGGTTACTGTTAATCAACCTTCTGCAACCGGCCAATTAGTTAAGCCCTTACATTCAAGCGATTTTAGGGGATGTCTTGGTGGACATTCTATGTAATTGAGGAATATATACAATTGCTGCAAGTTCAATTATTTGAATGTCTCAAATAATTATGGCACATATTTCCAAATGATGACGTCACGTCAATTACTTGACTTGACAAATTATTGTACGTAATTAATGTATTATTGGATTGGCTAAATATACTTATCCAAAGCGATTAATTGTCCCCCCCCATTGACAATGTCAATAATGAGGAATGGGTTAACATCTAAATCAGATACAAGGTGTATTTGTGTGTTGGCATAGTTATTCATATGAACCTTGGATAGCAAAAGAGAAAGAAGCTACTGACGGAGTTGTACAACGCTTTTCAGGTAAAAACTATTTTTTTTTTATAGATAGCTACGCAAATACGGGTTGTTAACTGTTAATTGAAGATCTGTGATTGGCTTCAGTATTTATATCAATCATTCGCCATGCATCGACAATCGACAATTGGCAATCGTCAATAAAACAAGAGGCGGACATGTCGTGCTTTGTGTGAGGTATTATATTTTCATTACTTCCTCTTTGGACAAAGTTGCCGCTGTGTATTGTATGTGTATTAGATGTAACTATATAACCGAGAAATAGGGAGCCACGATGTAGATTTCACTAGTCGTGCACTCAGTTGTTTATTGTCACTTGACTATTTTTCGCTTGAGGTCATTTCGGACTTTAAAAAAAAAATGGCGATGAGATCTAAGGTTATTTTACGCCAATAAATTGTGTCATTCTGTCTGGGAGCTGTTATCGAGCAATCAATACTGGATGGGATTTTGATGAATATTTCATTTTTTTTACCAGAAATATAAAACTCCTAACAAACTCCTAAAAAAATTTTAATGCAAGTTTTTTTCTAGAGTGATTAACTAATTTCAAATTCTCCGAACCAATCAATCCGAGTAGTTAACTTTAATCAATCAGTGAGGGCAATGGCACTAGCCTAAGCAAAGCTACATGTACGTTTGAATCGTTTTAATGGTGGATAAAAAAAACTGACCAAGTATTAAAATACATTGTAACAGTGGATGGTTAATTTGGAGGATATGCATTCACACATGTAAATGGGGGCAATATGCCAGAGTTCCATACTTTCCGGAAATACAAGCTATACAAAATACATATACCGTCCCCTAGTAATAATACAGTAGAAATAATAAGACATTGAATTATTTACGAGTAATATTAAGTACAACTTATTTGACGATTTTGTGAGTTATATAATTTGAAACGAGACAATCTTCGAAATGTAAAAAATAGGATTTTAGAAATATTACTTTATACTATAATCATGTATACATTCCTTGAATCAAACAAAGTTGTTTTGTCAAAACATAATCACATGTTAGCCAATAACTACAAATCGTGGACAGAAGAGTCGATGTGGACTCGCAAATGTGTTATTTGGTTTCTTAAATCTTATTACATTTAGGTTTGTAATGATTTAAGGCGTCATAATGGCCGTGAATTTGAAATAGACAGACAACAACAAGATTTCAGACGCATCACATTCTTTATTGGTTTTCAGATTTTCCCACTTTAACGTCGAAAGATTTTGTATTTGTTATGTTAGTTATTGTGGCATCTATTTCAAATGATGACGTCACATTACTTAATACTTTACTTGACGAATTATGTTGTTATTATTATTAGTAATAGATAATTATTCTAGGCTCGCCAATTATAGTGTCAGTTTTGAAATAATGAGTAAATACCTAAACCTATTAAAGGTATTTGTATGTTGAAATATAAATTCACACGAATCTAGGATATTGGGAGAGATATGTGCAATTGGAATAGAAGCTACTGACAGAGTTCGAGATCGTTTTTCATGTAGAAAAGACTGTATGTACAAAGAGATGAATCACGTTACATCAGGGTATTGTAGATGACTAACTAACACAGTTGATCGATTTTTACACACAAGACATGGCTCTGCTCACTGTAGTATCAAATGTCAATTCCACTATCTTTGTTGCTTAGCGATGAATACACAATATTTGGATGCACTGCTGTCGTGTTAAATCCCGGCAAACATACCACTGTAGTTAAAGCTGAATAAGTTCAATTTCTTCATAGTCCTACAACGCCGGACAGTAGAATTTTATGTCGTGGTCACAGTTTATCTCATAGTACCACAGTATGTATCTCCCACTATCACCTAACACATCACCAATAAATCACGCCCGCACGGTGATACCAATGTACGCCGTCACGAACTCCCACTGGCAGTCAGCAGATACGGCGAAAATAGGGCATTCCCACTGTAGATACGTAACACTCAAGTCAAATTCAGTAGTCGTATATGCTGTATTTAGTCCTCTAAGTTTCCTCGTAGATTAGATACTTACAATGAATTTATATTACAATTTATTTACAATGTCCATATGAACAGATAATTTGGAATAATAACCACACGATCATGGACACGTTTGTTAAATTTAGGTCGTGAAACTTGACGGACGATATCTTCAGAATTATATATGAGACACATTATAAATTCCGGAACAAATTTTTAAAATTATCCATTTTTACATTAGTATTAAAACTTTTGTGTCAGCAAATATCATTTTTATTTGTTGTCTATTCAGCTTTATCTGGACCATCTTCGCTAGCCAAGGTCTAAATTTATTCGGCCAAGCCTCTAAACAGACCTTGGCTAAACGACTATCAAATATGCGTATTCTAACAGCGCCCCCAGTAGTCAGATGCGGCTAATCATTGTCCAATCAGTTTGGGTGTTTACAAATTTCACAAATCTTCTTTGGCGTTTCATTTTAAACAAAATGGCGGCGCTCATGAACCGTGATATTTTTGATGATATAATTGCGAAAGTTTTCGGTGTTGGTGCCCTAAAGTCTCATCAGGTACGGCAATCGACGCAGCTTTGTGTGGAAAGGATGTCTTCATAACGATAAAGTGGAATTTTGTTATATAATTTTGTACGTCCAAGCTGACTGGGGGCCCTGTTTCGAGGCGCGCCCAATCAGATCTCACTCCTTAAGATACGCAATTAGCCTATGCGATCCCGCACGGTATCGTGTGGAGGCCTATAGATCGAAGACACGGGACCGTGCGATTCGGACGAGGTATCTGGAATTCTTTCTCCATATGGATATTGTATAAATCAAGGATGATTTACATTTACCGTTACTGATAACCGCTACTTGTTGATGCTTATCACACGCAACGTAATATTACCGTAATTGGTATAGTACAGGTGTGATGGTTCAAATACCAAAATGGCAACAGTAACAGAAAGACTTCCCTGGCGGCGATGATAAAATACGAACACTGAGCCAACAGATGAGGTTACAACTGGTACTGGTATTATTATACTCTGCAAACATCAAGTACAATAACGCGGTGAAACTCCAAACCTCCAAAACTAGATACTTAAACTCCAATACAATTCAACGAGATCTCCGATCTGATCTCAGTGCTGAACAACTCCCCTATATATACCCACACTGTCTATAAATAGACCATTACATCAGCATACATAATGAGTCTGGAACTTACTACAAATTTCTAGAATGTTCCATTACCTTCTATTGCCTCCTACAGTGTTCTATTACCTATTCAACCAGTTTCTAAAAATTCCACCCATACACAGTACGGTTCTAGAACATTCTCAGTCACACGGAAGTGGTAACAAGTCGTATGCGACAATGCTTTTATATTTTTTTCATTGGAAAACATTATACGACAGATATGAAATATCAAAATCAAAGACATGAGGCATTTCGTAATATTGGTCATTCCCATTATTTCGTCATTCTTTTGCTTCAATATAACTGGTGATGCACGTGTGCACGGGACATGAGTTTAGCAAGATGGCTATCAAATTTGATACTCCATGTTGCAAAACAGTTAACTGACACCAAACAATGAAAATACAGAGTCGTAGCCAACTGAGACGTAAATCTAAACAACTTAGGCTGTACCATTTATTTTGGCTCACCAAAAATACCCATTTAAATTTTATATTTATCAAACAGAAATGAGAAAACTGCACAGAAATTCCGTCTAAGTCGACAATTATTAATTAATCATGCCGTAAGTTAAAACAAGAGTAATTCTCATATTCACATACAATTGCATCTTTCATGCCTGCGCCTTAAATGATGTGTGAGACTCGATTCTGTACAGCGCGAAATATAAACGAACCATTTTATTGTAACAAGTTACAGGATTACGCATTTGGTTCAGCATTTACAAACTTATTATCCATGATTCGGTTCATATTGAAATATAAAAAAAAAATGGCTACTTTTGGTATAACCTTAGTTCTATTAAGCTTTAGTCTGGATAGGGCTTCGTCTGTCTGTATGCTCGGTAGCGACGGGTGTATCTGTCGGACCCTAACGCCGCCGTGCAACCCTATTCGCAAAAAGGTGAAAGGTGAAAAGAGTGTAAATTTGGGTATACTAGTCCGTAAAACTGGCTGGAAGAATTAATTTTCGATTTTGGCTTGAGAAAACGCCGACCTATATAGTGTACCCAATAAGAGAAACACCAGTATATGTGATTATGCAATCAAGTTTGAGCTTTAATATTAGGATAATGACATCTTATATGAATACGGATATTATATTGAACATTATTAATCTAATAATTATCTAATTAATTAATTAATTATTTCTAAACACTTACAATTTTTATCCTGTAGTTGGAGACAATCATCATGGCACGGAAAATAAAAAATGATTTTGTTAAACTCTGTACAGCCGCCATTTTTCTTTCGTGGACTCAGGGTGAGTGTTCATAAACGCTGTTTGCAAGTTGCTGATAATAAAGATAGTGTTCGCAATGACATATTTATACTTTATATGGTCAAGGAAGCATATTCAACAACTGCAGTAGTAGACCAACAAAACTAGATATGTTTTAGTAGAATGAATCTGTCGTAATAGGCAGCATGCTGTCAGTAAATTAGTAAAATATGTCGAAAGATTATCGAATATTTGCTATAAAAAAATATAATCTGTGATACGTTTTGTACTTTAAAGTTGTTATAGTAAGCTGCCAAGTGACTACAGATTCAACTGAAACTATGGAACGCAATGTAACTACAGAACCCATGGCAACTACAAAACTCAATGTAACTACAAGACTCAATATAACTAAAGAACCGATGGTAACCACAGAACCCAATGTACCTACAAAACCCATGGTATCTACAGAACCCAACGTAACTACAGAATTAATGGTAACTACAGAACCCAGTGCAAGTACCAAACCCAACGTAACTATAGAACATAACGTAACTACAGAAATCAATGTAACTGCGGAACCCAATGTAACTACACAACCCAATGTAACTGCACGACCCAATGCTTTTACAGAACCAACTGTAACTGCAAAACCCAATAAAACTACAGAACACATGGTAAGTCCAAAACCCAGTGTAACTACACAATCAATAGTGTCTACAGAATCAATGGTGTCTACAGAACCCAGTGTAACTACAGAACCCAGTGTAACTACAGAATCAATGGTGTCGACACGACCCAGTGTAACTACCGAACCCAATGTAACTACAGAACCTACTGTAACTACAGAACCCAGTGTAACTACAGAACCCAGTGTAACTACAGAACCCAGTGTAACTACAGAATCAATGGTATATACACAATCCAGTGTAACTACAGAACACAGTGTAACTACAGAACCCAATGTAACTACAGAATCTAGTGTGACTATAGAAGCAAATGTAACTACAGGGCCCAGTGTAACTACAGAATCAATGGGAAATAGAGAACCTAATATAACTACAAAACCCAATTTAACTACTGAGCCCAGAGTAACTACAGAACCCAAAGTAACTACAGAACCTAGTGTGACTATAGAAGCAAATGTAACTACAGGACCCAATGTAACTACAAAATTAATGGGAACTAGAGAACATAATGTTACTACAGAACTCAATGTAACTACAGAGCCCAGAGTAACTACAGAACCCAATGTAACTACAAAAAACAGTGTAACTACAGAATCAATGGAAACAAGAGAACCCAATGTAACTACAGAACCCATGGTTACTACAGAAGCAGATGTAACTACAGAGTCCAATGGTATTACAGAAGCAATAGAAACTACAGAACCCAATATAAATACAAACCCCAGTGTAACTACAGAACCCATGGTTACAACAGAACCGGATGTAACTTCAGAACTCTTGGTAACTACAGAACCCAGTATTACCACAGAACCCAATGTAACTACAGAATCCAGTGTAACTACAGTCTCCATGGTAACTACAGCACCTAGTGTAACTAGAGAGCCCAGTGTAACTACCGAACCCAATTTAACCACAGAACCCAGTGTATCTACAGAACCCAGTATAACTACCGAACCTAATGTAACCACAGAACCCAGTGTAACTACAGAACCTATTGTAACTACAGAGCCCAGTGTAACTACCGAACGCAATGTAACCACAAAACCCAGTGTAACTACAGAACCCAGTGTAACTACCGAACCCAGTGTAAACACAGAACCCAGTGTAACTACCGAACCCAATGTAACCACAGAGCCCAGTGTAACTACAGAATCAATGGTGTCTACAGAACCCAGTGTAACTACAGAACCCAGTGTAACTACAGAATCCATGGTAACTACAGAATACATGATGACTACAGGTAATTATAATAATCTCTCTTATCATCCATCAGATCTTGTCAGTTTTGAAAATTAAAATTGTACAGATATGTTTGTTGCATTGAATAAAATTACTAGAAACTATCGCAATCTGTTATAGCAACTCTGATACATATTTCGATCTAAAACCTCTAGAATTCAGTGTTTATGTCTCAACGTGATAGTGTGCATGATTACATCTACTCATTCAAAAAAATATCGTCAATGGAATTAACATGTAGGTATTACATAGAGAACTGTATATTTTGTGATACAAATTTTGTTATCCAGGAGCTATTTATTGTGATCAACAAACATAACCCAGTGATTATAAAGATAACGTCTCTGAAACCTCACAAGATCATTATTTGTGTTGGCAATAAATCGCATTTACTCATTTTCAACATAACAACCTTAAATGTTGAGTAAATTCGATAAAGTATCGTGTGCTTCACAACGTTCATGAAAATAATCCTGGGCAATATCATTCCACTGTGTACATTCTAGTATTTCAACACAGTTCTTATTGAACATTATAGATTTAATTTACTTTCCTGAAATATTTAACATTCTTTAGTTTCGCTGTAGATATCATTGTTTCTATTTTACATAACATAATAATTGCAAATCATTCGGGTATTTCAAAAGAACACACGGCAAATCTAAATCTAATCTTCATGTTTTTAATGATGTTACATTGATACTTGAGTGTCGGTTGTATGTTTTTGAACAGATGTCTTGTGCGCAACCAACGTTACTTGGTATGGGAGTAACTTTTATCAGTTTCAAGTAGAAGAACATTCTCCCCCAGACACGTTTGTTGGTGACATATCAGTAGAAGCGTACGACATGCAAGAACCAGTTTACTCAATACTAGAAGACTATGCTGACAGTGTATTCAACGTGACTGGTGATGGTTATATTGTCACGGATGGTGATATAGACAGAGAAGTGAATCAGACCATAACATTCACTGTTGTTATTCAGAATCAATATAACACTGTCACAGTTAAATACGTTCCTGTGCACGTAACTGTGTTAGACATCAATGACAACATCCCCATATTTTCACCCACAATATATATTACAGAGATATTGGAATACTCAGCAGCGGACACCTTTATTTCCCCTGTGTATGCAACTGATTTAGACTCGGGAAAAAGAGGTGAGGTCAGCTACGGAGTTTACCTTGAAAACTATTTTTGGATGGACGATAATAATGTAC